ATGAAAACATGGACTTTTCTTACAGTGAGTTACAGACTGTCTTTGCTTTGTAGACCATGGGCTGAAAATAAAGTCTAGAAGTAATGTGGTCAGTTTACAGTTAAACCTCATTTATCTTGAGGGTGTCACTGCATTGTCATTGTATACAATACTTTTAGTATTGCCTTGGCATGTTAGCAGACTTGCACCAGGGAGAATTTTTTCATAGAGACTTGCTTAGGAAATGTTTATATCTCAGTTTTTACTGAGTAGCATAGACGTGAAACACACTGTCTATAAAATAAAATGCTCAACCTTTTAAACACCCATATTAAGCTCTGACACATAGAATATTCAGTGAAGGTGAAAAACAGTATGAAACAACAGCATGAAATGGGAAAAGAACATGAAGTTGGTGAATGGTAAAATCTTATTTGTTTGGCTTCATATAAGTGAACCTTTTAGCCAAAGAATTACTAGTATTAAGTTCTTCTAAACTGTAAGTAGATGCTAATTTTTTCAGGGTATGTTAGTTTTACAGTTCAGCCTTATGTTGAGATCTGTTTTTATTTCCATGTTATCACAAATCACAGTGGGCCAGCCTAAGCAGGGTGCCCAGCGTCTGATGATCTCTAAAGACCCGCGGCCTCCAGGTACCTGTGCCAGTGCACTGGTGCCACACAGCACAGAAGTGCTGTCTCGTTCAGAGGGACCTCCTGTCTTCCACTTTGTGCCCATGTCTCTTGTCCTGGCACTGGGCACCACTGAAAACAACTTGTCTCTGTCCTCATTGCACCCTTCCTTCAGATATTTAAATACATGGATGAGTTTATTCCTGAGCCTCCTCTTATCCACACTGAACAGGCCCAGCTCTCTCCAGCCCTTCTTTATAGTGGAGATACTCCAGTCCCTTTGTGGCCCTTCACTGTGCTCTTTCCAGTACGTCCCTGTCTCTCTGCTACTGAGGAGCCCAGCACTTCAGCATCTCACCAGTGTTGGACTACCAGACAAAAGGTAGATTTATTAACTGAAAAGGGTCACAACGCAGACTCCTAGCTAATATCCACATAACTATGTGGCTGCATATCCTATCTGTACCTCAGGATCTTGTTCATGATAGCTCCTGGCTTTCAAAAGTACATTTTTATTTATTATATGACATCTCCAACTCATCTTTAGATCTGTAGGCTATTGGCATTCTGGTCCCACCTTAGAAATAAAGATTTTTTTCCTCCATTCAGTGGGTACTTTTCAAGGAGCAGTGAATAAAGGTTTAGCTCCAAGGTTTAGAGAAGGAATGGTGAAACAGGAGAGAGACCTGTAGACTTCTTGTAAGATTTCCCTTCTCCCTTCTCCTTAAAACAAAACAAAACAAAAAGAGTAAAAAACCAACAACAAAACACAACAGCAACCAACAAAAATAGGAAAATATGGCAGCATGACAACATTTGAAATTTCTTGAACTAATAGGGAAACTAACTTAGTCCTTTGGTGCACTGCATTTCTTTCTGTCCTATCTTCTTCTTTGTTTAACTGTGTGGTTTGTAACACCAGTGGTGTTGGATCCCTCAGAGCATGGATTTTCTGGTAAGCAAAGTCAGACAAAGTTGAGAGGATAAAGAAAACGCACAGAAGGGAAGTGTATCTCTTTCCACTGAAATATCCCTCTTTCCTGAGGTATACATACACACAGATTTTACACACAGTTCTTCAAGATCAGAGGACAGACACATCTTCTGTCACAGGAGACAGATCCAGCTCCATGCCTTTCTAGAGGAAAAAAAATTAGGAATTTTACAAAATCAAACCTTCTCTTGAAGTAGTCTCACGTAGATTATCATCACAGAGGGGAGGATATATCCCCAAGTAAGGACTTCTGGATTCAGCTTGCATAAATAGACCTCAGGGAGTGAGTGGGTGAGTGAGTCAAGTGAAAAATACAAAGAACAAAGGTGAGATTTTACATTTTTGTGGCTGCTGGGCGTGCTTCCAGTTCAGTGGTACTGGGATAGCTATCATCTGCTTTTAAGAATAGCATTAAAAAATACTGACTTGAGATGAACGTTCCCATCCAAGGTGTACTGGACTTGCAGTGCTGGCAAGTCATTACTGAAGAATAATTAGTGCCAAAATGTGAGAAGAGATCTTCATACAATTGCTGATTAAGTGCATCTATAGATCTACTTCCCCAGTCATCCATCCAATATTCCAATTGAACTGCCAGCCAAAATTCACGAGGCAAATTTCATTACGTTAGTGGTGCCTAACCTAGAGCTGGCATTCTGTTGTAGTCATGATGGTGGGATGGATAGGAGTCTGTAAGATGAATTCATAATGCTTCATTATGATGAAATATCAAAGTATGTTGGAAGGTCACCTTGTGTTATATAATTATATATTCAAAAGAATTTAAATTCTTTCTTCAGCCCTCAGTGAATCTGAGACAACAGCAGTGATGGGAAAAACCTCTCTTAAAAATCCCAAGAATCATACTTGTTTTGGCATGACACTGCCTCAGGTGATTTGCGAACAAGGCTGACTTTGCCAAGCTTTCACATAACACACGGTTCAGCATATGTTTTGCAACATTAAATCTGCTTTCCATTTGCATGGATAGAATTGCCTGATTGTATACATTTTGTTAGTTTAAAGGGCTCCAATATTCTAATACTAGAGCCAAAATTAATTTCTGGAGGTGATGGAGGCTGTATGTTAATTACTAACGAGTCATTCAGAACCGTGTCTAAGGTTGTTGCTTTGTCTGACTTTGGAAGGTATCAGTGTATCTGCTGCCACAGTAGTACTGGGATTGTAGCTACTGACCATCCCGAAAATCAGGCTCAAAACTGACCGCAGTAGATGCTCATATCTATGTGAAGTTGTTTCATTGTTTTTCCGTAAAAGCCACTATTGCCAGATACCTTGAAGCTTATAAAATACAGAAATCTGTAGGTATGAGTTGAAGTGGTCTTGTCAAAAAGACCACAATTAATAAGTTGCATGCACACCTAAGAAGCAGTGCATACCACCATTTATCATCTCTTCAGAGTCTAAATAAAAAAGCCCCTTATGGACAAGTACCAGACAGCCACATTTTAGTCCATCAGTTTAAATCTGATGTCATATAGTTTCAAATTGAGTTCGATTGAATTGTTCTCTGTGTCTCTGCCCGAAGCAGTTTGCAGTGTTAGCTGATAGGGTGTGACCTGGGTGGCAGCAACCATAGAGGCAAAAGGCACGTTTAGCTCATCAAAGATGGTCAGCACGTCCTCCAGTTATTGCTTTGTTTTTTTTCTTAGTGGCACAGATTTCTGCAGAGCTTATTATGCCTGAGACCTGTCACCATCCTCTGAGTGTATCTGGTGCTGACCCTCAGATAAGTAGTGGCATATAACCCTGTTCTGCATGTGAGAGCTGCAGCATATAAAGCACCATTTCTCACAACAAACTCATGGTTAGTAATGGGAGATCCAAATCCTACATTTGCTTCTGCCTATGGGCAGTGAGAGGGGAAGGACTGTCTCTGAGTACTTCTTGTTCTCCCAGTGTAGATGGGAGAGGTTTTATCCTGAGAAATGCAACAGTTAGGATGGTGGCTCTGGATGTCACAGCTTTTTAGGACCTTTTCAGCGAGAAGAAAAGGAGTGTACAGAGAGACATGAGAGTACTGACCTTTCTTCATAATCAAAGATGCATGGGAAAATACTTAGTTTGTAAAGTCACCATGTCTCTGTTGAATAGTTTTGGGAACTGTGACCATAAATTTATAGCTTGCAGTGTTTTCTGAGGGCTGTGATCCAGAGATAGGGGTAGCCTGACTAGCAGGCTACAAAAAAGACAGGGAACTCCTGGGGAGAGTCCAGCAGAGGGTTGAAGAGATGATTGAAGCCTGAAGCATCTCCCTTAATGAGGAAAGGCTGAGAGACCTGAGGCTGTTCAGCCTGGAGGAGACTGAGGGGGATCTTAGCAATGCTTATAAATGTCTCCTGGGCGGAAGAGCTCTTCTCAGTGGTGCCCAGCAGCCGGACAAGAGGCAGTGGGCACAAACTGCAACACGGAAAGTTCCATCTGAACATGAGGAAAAACTTCTTTACTTTGATAGTGACAGAGCACTGGAACAGGCTGCCCAGAGAGCTTATGGAGTCTCCTTCTCTGGAGGTATTTTAGACCCACCTGGACACTTTCCTGTGCAACCTGCTGTAGGGAACCTGCTTTAGCTGGGGGTCGGGCTGGATGATCTCCAGTGGTCCCTTCTAGCCCCTACTATTCTGTGATTCTGTGAATCTCTTGGGAATTTAGACACAAAACTGCGCTGTTCATCACAACCTGCTGTATGGCAATGTAGTCATACAGAGTAAAAATATTTAAAATTTCACTTTGAGAGGAAAAACTGCGTACCACTGTCTGAAAGTAATTTTTGACACTGTCTTTTTCTGAAAGCTTTGGAGATTCCACCTATTAATTTGTTTCTTTCCTGAATATATTTATGCAGCGGAAGTATTCCTGTCCTTCAAGGTAAATTCTGTATCGCTTCACACCCCATTCTTTACAGACCTTCATTAATCCATTGTCATTTATTTGATCCTTTATATTTGGTGGAAGTATCTTTCCAATATACAACATAAAAAGAATTTAATTTTGAGTTATAATAATAATTAATCTCCAATTGTATTATACTTTAATGAATGCATGACATTTCACTCTGTTTTTGTCTCTCTAAACAGCTCATTATGTTCTATCTTGTTCTGATAATATATAGGGTAGCATTAGCTGAGAGAAAGTTATACGTGTTGAAGAATGCAGTTAAATTCTAAATTCTAAAAAGTAGCATATTCAAAAATATTTCTCATCTGTCCTGGTTTTTATCAAGTTTAGTAGAATTGTATTCTCAAAGACTGGATAAAATATGAAGGCAAAAGAAATGAGATCGCAGAAAAATAACGAGCTTTCGCTCTATGTTGGCAGCTGACAAATAAAAGTTCACATGAATTAAAGGAAAAAATATCTCTTTATTCTTTCAGACCACTCTTCCGTGGAAATTCAGATGTTGATCAGCTAGGAAAAATCTTTGAGTAAGTAATAACCAGTTGCATTATGTCAATATATGTTTAATACTGAAATACCGTGAGGTTTCTTTGCTGTTTTTAATGCAGTAATGTGTCTAGAACTAAGTATTCCTAGAGCCTATTTCCTGTTGCTACTCTACGCAACGTGATATTTCCATGCATTCTCTGTCAGAGTGGGAGGAGGAAGCAGTGTGGAACAGAGTTCTGCAGAACTAGCAGCCATCATCAGGAAGTTACGAGAAGCTTCTGTTTGGGGCTTTTTAAATCTCTTAAACATATTGTGCATGTACTATTCATGAGTTTTCCTAAGCAGTTAGTTTCAAGAGATTCTCTTTGCTCAAATACAAATGCATTTTTTGTTGCAACAAATGCATTTTTCATTTTTTTTCCCCAGTAATTTCTTTGTTATTTCAGAAGATAACATTGGAACCCTTTAAAATTCCAATTAAATTTAAAAAGTTGAGGATGCTTACCAACAGCTTCTTTATGGGAAAACCTTCTGTACATGAGAAAATAGTTTAGCTTTTAAAAAATACTGTATAGCCTGCTAAAACAATTAATAGTCCAGATAACTATGAGAATAGAAGGAATAGCAGCAGTTAATGTAGATTTTGCCAGAGACATACTAATAGGCGTTCCTTTAAAACCTTTTCTAAATAAAAGGAGTTTGTGTTTTTCTTCTTCAGAGGTATAGAATATGTTGAGGAGGTGGAGAGGCTCTGAAGTCTCTGAAGTAGATAAACTCTTTTCCAACGTATGTTCTTATGAGAAACGAAGCAACCAAAAAAAGAAATTGTAAAATGACCAATATTACCAATGTGTTAATTAAGTAGGAATATATCTTTTTTAAATTTTTTCTTGTAAGAGCTCTTCAGGGCAAGAAATGTTTCTAAATTTGTAAGAACCATGTAATTTGAAGATTCATGTACACGTCACTTCATTAGGAAATCAGATCCACTTAGGGCTCATCCCATGCCACAGAATGAATGCCTGTTTACCTCTGCACCACTGTGTTCCTTTATCCTGTGGAGAGACTGCAACGATCTGCTGATGTTCATGAAGAAAGAAACAGATGGGCAAAGTGAGAGAGAAAGAGGAGATGTTGAAACATTCTTCTATTAAAGATACTCCAAACAGAAGATAGTAAATTTTTTAGGAAAAAGAACATAATTAGAATAAATAATGAATTTTTCCGCTTAGCCATATTTCCAGTTCTCAAATCGTTAACAGATCTGTTTCTGAGCATTTTCATTATTTAGTATGAGGTTCCTAAATTGCAGGTCTTGATTTCACACAGTTGACTTCCTTTTCCTGCATGCCATACCAGTGTATGTGACTCACTTGCGTGGTTAATTTGTCATGCGCTGAACAGCTCTTCCTGCATAATCCAGAAAAATCAGTCCTTAAAGTTTACTTTTTTCTCTGCCAAAGCTACTCTTTCAGTCCTGCAATATTCTGCTTTATAAAATGAAGATAGTTTTGATACATGGAACTTTTTTTTTTTGGGGGGGGGAGGGGGAGGGGGAAGAAAAAAAAGCTGTAGCTGTGATTTTTTTACGGATTTTGATTTGATTTACTAATGATATTTAAGAGGAAAAATCTAAATTAATTGGGATAGGATTAAATACATAACCGGTAGCAGCAACCTGCAGCAGGATCTTTCCATCCCTAGGGGGTGATTGCCTGTGCAGAAAAGAATTCATCAAGAAAAGAAAATGCAGTGCTAATTTTAGAAGAAATTCCTTATTATACATTTACGTAAAGTTTGCTTTTGCTTCTTTTGTGCATTTCTCCTTAAATAGTTCAGAAGTCACTTGTTTGAGTTCGGAGGGAGGGGGTGGGTTATGCTAAATAGTGTTTATTTTGTGTTTTCACAGCTGGACAACCCCATACAGTTAGGCATAGCTCTTCTTGTAGGAGGATTGTTTCTTTCTACAGTAGTGAGTCATTCTCCAGACAAATTTGGACAGAAAGTAGTTTCAGGATTTTCGTGCAGACTGGACTGATGTATTCTTTCATATAATCGGGCTGTGGTCTGCCTTTGCTTTACATGTGCGTTCTGATTTGCATCAGGTAGAATTCCAGTGTGCTTGAGGGTAAATCCTTAGGAGATTGCCCCAAACAGTGTTCTGCTTTACCAGGACACTGTCTGCATGTGGGATATCCTCACAGATTTCAGGGTAAATGCTGCAATGGTGTGAGCAGACTTGTCTCTCACTGTGATCAACGGGAGCGGAAAGTACTCAGCATTTCTCAAGACCAGGCCTGAACCTTTGGCAGGAGGTGAAACTCATCCAAGATACACCCAAACTTAGTCACTGAAATGATAAAGCTACCAGACCAGAGTGAGGGCATCTACTTAGACATTCATTATTAAGAGTTTTGAATACTGCAGGAGTGCATAACTAAAAATATCTTTCCACTCTTGGTCTTTTCCGCCCTACCTGCCTAACTAGCTGCCTCCTGGTTTCTTTTGTTAGCTTTGCCTGGGCCTGTGCTAATTCTGGACTCTTCATGCTCTCTCGTACAAAAAATAAAAAGCCTGGGACTGGCCAAACACAATTGAATGGCAGGCTAAATTTCAGTGTTATTTAAAATATTTAACTCCTTTGTCCTCCAATAGTGCTGTTATGTTTAATACGGGTTCAGATCCTCAAACAGCTAACGACACAGCTATAACCACTGTGGGGTGCTGCACCATACCCTTGACATACCTGTGGTGATAAAAAGAGTAATTTTTCATACAGATTTAACTCATCTTTTCCCAAGAGTTTTGTTGTTTTCTGATACAGTAAAATTTACAGTACTCTGAGATATTGTTTTGACCTTCCATTCACACTTTTGTTTTGAGGACATGTTAATTTTATCTGAGCCAAATTATAATCTAAAATCCATGTAGATAGAGCTGGACTAATTCCACTCAGTTCAGGTAATCTATGATTTACATCAAAATGTTGGCCTTTGGCCTCACCCAGTCTCATTACCAACCTCAGCAAGAAGAAAGGTCAATGCTGCTCCCTAGTGGCACTGGGCTTACTGCAGACCCAAGTATTTAGTGAAGTTTTTCCTTGTTTTTTCTCCTCTTACTGTTAGCGTTTGAATTAAAAATCTCAACTTTACAGGCTGTATAATTTGGTTTTCCCTAAAACCTGACATGTAATGTCAGGTCTTTTCCAGAATTTCCAGCAGAAACCGATGTTTCACTACCACAAACACTAACTTCAGGACTAAAACATGAAATATACAAAACATGACCCAGTATTGGATGTTTACCTACTATTTAATTTATTTTGGTTTTGTAACCTTAGCGTAGTTACTTAATGAGTTTAAATGCTTTCTAGAATTTAAAGTAACAAGGTAAGAAATGATAAAAAGAAATTCAAGTATTCTATTGAAAAGTAAAGAAAAATAAAATACAATGGGAAATAGAAATACAAAGATACTCAAGTCCTATGCCACTTCTGAACTGAGACTTTAAAACCTGTATTGTGAAGCAAATAAATTGTTTAACTTTAGGCAACAATTACTGCACATAGCTTTGAAGCATTATGAAACATCCCTTTTATTGCCTTACCCTCATCTTGACCCACACTCTTCTCTGAGCCTCTATTCTTGTGAATAAAGGTCCTTGCATGCAATTCCCCTTTGAAACTTACTGCTTTTAATCATCCTGGAGTGACATATGTTGCACCATCCAGTCAAGAGCTGAGCAAATTTCTTCCAAAGCACTCAGCACTTTTTCAACAAAAAAGACTCATAAAATTGAGACCTAGGCCAGAAAAGCGTGCTGGCCACAGAATGACTTCTGCCAAGCACACTGAAGGCCTACACTCATCACCCTCTATTCACAGTGATCACTGCATTACTGTCCAACTAATCTCATTTAAACTAAAAGACTTAATCATAAAGTAAATTGTCACTCAGTACATTAAATACAAAATGGAGACTGCGTAAATGTCCAGAGCTAACATTATGCTTTGCCTTTCACAGTGTAATTGGACTCCCAGAAGAAGAGGACTGGCCTAACGATGTTGCCCTTCCGAGAAATGCTTTTGCTTCCAGACCCGCACAACCTATTGAAAAATTTGTACCAGATATTGATGAAATGGGCAAAGACTTGCTTCTTGTGAGTTTCCATCTGTTTTGTCCAAACCGCATGACTGATAGCTGCATGCCAAGAAACATTTATGTTTCCATTTAATGAAGTTACTAATGAAGTAGAAAAGCAAGTAGACAAATTCATGTGTATCAGTGAAACATCAGCACAAAGACACCATCTTTGGCTCAAGAGGTGTCAGAGGTGAGAACAGATAAAGGCTAGGAAACTGCCACAGAAGGACCTGTTTGACGTACCTTCTGCCTTGATCCTCATTACTGAGTGCTATTGTGCAACTGATTAGAAGCCACTCTTCTAATACTAGTCTGATACAAGTACAGAAAATGATCTGCCGTTTTTCACAGTATAGTGCAAAGCAGGAAATGGGCTATATAGGCAGAATACTGAAAAGTTGAGATTTGGAATTTGCCATTTAATCATTGCCTCTTACAACTGGCAGGATTGAACAGATGCAAAACAAGTTGTGCTTGTAAAACTAGTAGCATGTAAGTCAATCAAATGATTTCCAACATTTTTATAGATCTGTTAGAAACCTTGACTCTAAAGTTCAGTCTTCAAATTGAATACTGAGAATGACTTTGCATTTTACTGTTGTTGAAATCTAGCTAAATTTCTTCTCTGAAAGCCTTTGAAAGATCTCAGCTCGTATGGGCTCTTTAGAGAGGGCTCATTGCAAATATTGAAAGATTTGCTGCATCACTTTAGCTACTCCAACCAAAGTTACATCTGTACAACAGCTGGTCATTCTCAACTGTTGTTATAACTGCATCTCCCAGCTTCAGTAAAGTAGACTACACCTGGATACTTGAAATGACAGAAATGGAATGCATCTTTTGTGCTTGCAGGAAGATTGGAAATGGAAGCTAGACATGGGAAAAGAACTACATTCGAGAACAAGTAGTAAAATATGGATAGAGCACAATGAGTGTGAGGCATGGTGGGAAGGAGGAAGAGAAAAATATCTTTGCCTAGATGGTAAGGTGGAAAGTCATTACTGTTAGGCAAAAAAATAATCAGAACTGAGATCCACAGATGAAAGGGAATAGAAAGTCACTGAATTAAATTTCAAGAGTTAAATGATTGAAATTCTGATGCAAGTAAAGTAAGTGAGAGCTGAAGGTGCTTAGACAAGGACACTAGGATGAATACTATTTGAAGGTGAAGCAAAGGAAAAGACCAAGGTATGTAACATATGGAGAGAGTTCTGAGCTGACTGAACCAAGACTGGGAAAAGGATCTGGAAAGTAGGCAAGCAAAGTACAACTATGAAGAAGAGGGAGAATTCCCAGTGGGATGATACAAGAGCTTCTAAGGTGACTTTAAAATAGGAGTCTACAATCACTGGAACATGAATAGTGGAATTAGACTGAAAATTAGGGAAGAAAAATGGATCTGCAACAAGCAGGTAGAAGTTTGGAAGGCAGAAATATTTAAGAGTAATAGACCTAAGATCTGTAATCAGACTTCAGCACAAGTCTGAAAACACTTTGAATGAAATAGTTTAAAGTCATCACTGCTCCTGTTACATACAGAAGTGAAATCCACTATCAAAGTATTTCTGTCAGGGAATGCTTAACATACTGACCAGCCCTACTGCTGTCATTACTGTGGCAAAAAGCCATGATCTAAAGGTTTCATCTCAGTGATAAGTCATGCGGATATTTGCACTACATTAGTTCTAAAGAGTCACTGCAAGAGTCCAAGAGTTCAGTTTGCCATTTTGCACACAGACACAGAATAAACAAACAGTTAAAGCCCAAACAACTACATCATCAGACAATATTTTACATGAAGTCAGTGAAAAGTATGAGACGATGGTACTGAGCAGCATGAGGAACAGAGTTTTCAGCACATCTGCAGACTGGCATTGATGAATATTAAATATTCTTTTGGATTTTTCTTTTATTTCAGCATGATGGAATTTTTCTGTTTTGTTTGTTTTGAATGTAGGAAACTGAACGCTTAACATTAACACACAAAGGATATAAAGTCAAAGATTCAACTTCTATAGAAATGTTGACCCTAGGAATTAATACATACCTTAGAAAGCACTCCATGTTTGTATAATCACAAAAGAGCATGCATTGAGTATTGAGAGGATTCAAAAGCCATTTGTTAATAGTTGTTCCCTGCAGTCTGTGAGGCAGAGTCTGTCCTGTGCATATGAATTCAAGAAAATATGAATTCTGAGGCTTCCTAAACTATGAACACTTTAATGTTCTAACCTGGTATTTTCTATCAGCCTTGGGGATTCGTATACTGTAAGCCCACTGCCCCATTGCTTGTTTTAATGTGCATGGTCATCTTTACCATGCAGCACCATCTGTGATCCCGCTGTGTCTCATACTGATCCAAAATGGGCTGTGACTTGCGATGTTAGCAGTTTTCACTCTACACTGTAGTTAAAAACAACTTCTTTTCATACTTACAGAAATGCTTAGCGTTCAATCCAGCCAAGAGAATATCTGCCTATGCTGCCCTGTCTCACCCATATTTCCATGGTCTGGAGAAATGCAAGGAGAATCTGGACTCGCACATGTCATCCAGCCAAAACTCCAGTGAGGTGAATGCATCACAATGCTGACTGAAGATGAACCTATAAATGAACAAGATGTGTAGCTGACAAGGCCACTGTCTCATACAAACCACATGGCTGTTCTAGTGAAGATCATTGTTTGGAGGTTTTACACACTGTCTTTCATTTTGGGATTGCAATGTGCTTATCCAAGGAAATCAACGTAGTTTACTTTCATCAGAGCAATGCAAGGGCCAGGGCTTTGGCCTGCTCCCATTGCAGCTTTATGTTTGTTTTGTTTTTGTCTTGTTTGTCTGCCTGGGAAAACTCCAGACGAAGAGAAGCTGCTGACCACTTTTGCTGCCGTTTTATCCTTCTAAAATTGAATGCTGCCAGTGTGGAGTAAGATGATCAAGTCACTGCCAAAACAGGATACAATCTCTCTCTAGCTGCTGAAGCATGATTTGGTACTTCTGTTATGATGGTGTGATCTCTTAGAGTGATATTTAAAGAATGGCATTGAAATATCAGATCTCTGCAACCTGCAGTTAACTGATACATACATTAATACATCCAGCTACTGTGCACTCATAGAATACATGCAGGTCCTTCCCCAACTGAAAACTTGGATGGATTATTTTGTTATTTCATTGCTCTATAAAAACAACAGTTATGATAGTGATTGTAATAAATGTCTCAGCTTTTAGGGTTTTTTTTAATACACAAACAAGTTATTAGCTAGTTAAGTTTGTGTGCATGTTTCAAAAGCAAGTGTGTAAAAAAACTTACGAGGTCCCGTTCTTAAAGATCCATTCAGTTTCCAAATGGTCAGTTTATGTTGGAATCCATGCACATTCTAACCCATCATCTAACCCATCGTTCTTTTCCGGAAACAGCTGCAAACACACTTTCTCTCTCTCATTCTGAAATTTCTGATATTCAGCTCAAAGACACGAGTAGAGCCAATGAAGATGAATACAGGTTTTCATCTTTAACCTGTTCTCATCATTCTCTGAAAAGGAACATAGAAAAAATATTTCCAGTTTGGAAGGAGAGAATGCTATACTTGTTAAGTACAGTTATTTACCTGTGCAGAATTGTATGCTGTATACTCTGCTGCCTTACCTACAACAGCTGCCATGCATCTCAAGTGCATGAACATTACTGTCACAAAATGCCTCAGATGTTGCTTATTAAGAAGACTTGTTTTCTATGCAGAAATGCATGAGCTTCTCTCCTAAGCCACCATGTGGTATACTGGCACATGCTTCTCCACTAGGCTTAATGTGCCGTTACTGAATGTCAAAATAACTAAGCAATTCACATGCCTTTATAGAACAGTAATTTTAAATATTACATTAAAATTTTATATTTAGTATTTTTACCTTAACTAAAAAATATTTTCAGTATTTTAAAAAGAAGCGTTTATTTTTTTTAATACTGTGCTGGGAAAAGAAAAAAAAAAAAGAAATATTTTCAATCCATGAAAGCCATTTCCTTGTATGACTTCAGTGCATTTACCTGAATATGACTTGGGGGAAAAATTGGTCCAACGAGTTAACCCTTGCCATAAAAATATAAATATATCCTATTGCAGTGTAACTGATGAGAAGTGAGGCAGACAGCTTTGCTTACTCTTATGATAGTCCCTTAGGCTACTCTCTTCCTCATCTCTACTTCTTCTCGTTTGGCTACAGAGCCAGCATTACACCCTTGCTCACGGCACGCTTGGCAAAAGCAGGTCCTTAGCACTGAACTGAGCAATGTAATTGTGCCAGACAGGGCTCAGGAACCTGTAGCTGTCTCCTGGCAGGTTTCTCAGCCTTGTGGCAGACTGCCTGTTGTGGTGCACTTCACTGTTAATTCTGTTTCAGGCATCAGTACTGTCTGGGACATGGCCCCTTGCTAAAATGGTGAGTGGATCTTACAGGTCTCCTGGATAAAGCTTTTCTTTATTGTTAGACACTTAACTGTGCAACTTGTAGTTAACATTATGGCTACTTTAAATGGGCCAGATTTTAAAAGGACCACTTGTGTGCATGCATGCAGTGGCCTGTGCCTTTCTTCATGCCCAGAATAGTCCCTGTTCAAAACCTACCAGCATGAACAGGCAAGTTGTATATTAAGCCTGGCAAGAGCACATACGAGGCATCTGCTTGCGAGGATAATACAGATGCACAGCACAAGAATTTTGGAAGCTCCACCAGTGGCAAGCTGAAGGCCAGGGAGCGGCCACGGCAGCTCACTGCTCTGAGCTCAGCTTCACTTCTGCCGGTCTCTCTGCTCTTACATCCAAGGGGAGCAGTGAGCCCATGGTACTGGTGCTGAACCAACCCTGTTCCTCTGCCATTCAGCGAACCTGAGTGGGAACGGGGCTTTGGTATTCATAGAAAAGAATAGACCAAGGCGGTATTTTTGATCACATTTTTTAAACACTAATTAGAATGACAAACAGAGACAAAATACAGGTGAATCCTGCAACAGCAACAATAGAAATGTTTTCTACACAGTTTATCACTTTTAAAAACATTCCACATGTTACCTACTGCCAAGCTTCCGTACATACGCTATCAGGGCATTCAGCTGATACTGGCTTGCCATCAGCTGTCAGGGAACTTTCCCAAAGCTCTCCAAGAGCTAACATTGGGTGAAAATGGGCCTGGGTGTGGGTTTGAGGGTGTTACTTTCCAATTAGACTGCAGACTCTCAGATGGTGAAGTGCATCTGCTGTCTGGTAGGAGAGCTGGGTGTACTGGGCTTAGCAACGCAAAGGCTGGAAGAGAATATGGTTGCTGACTGTAAATAAATAGTTAGGGGAAAATAAAAAAAGAGGGATGTTAACTCTTAAAGCCAGAGGTTATTGTGAGCCCAAGAATGAATGAAAAAAGTGGGAATTGCCTGAAAATTAACTTTTGGGGCGACATTTCCCAGTTTGTAGTATCAGAAGTGGAGCTCAAGCAAGCAGCAGAAAAAAGCACAGGTGGCATGCAGAATCAGAAGCAGAGCTCCTGCAACATGGTGCTGTACATCGTCTAATATAGGATCAGGTTATACGTGGGAGTATTCAGGAGAAATATCTTGGAAAAGGTTGCATTAACGGTCATGTTCTGGAACATACATCCAGCGGGAATGGCAAGAATAAACAACAACAACAAAAAATCTGTGTTGACAGGGCTGGGAAAAAGATTTTTTTTCCCTTGTGGTAGCAATGGACTGTATTCAAAGGCCCAATGACTTTCCAAATGACCTCTTTTTCAAAATCTCTTCAGGAAGAAATTCCAGCAGTCCTTCTCTGATAAGTCTTAGGCTTCCTCTTATTCCCACCTCCCCTGCCAAGCCACGAGGCTTCACTTACCCTGGTAAACCAAGGAGGGCTGTTCTCTGGCTGGGCAAAGCGCTGGCACTGGCTGACAGCATGGGGGAACTGCACTCCTAGTGAGACTGCATAAAGACAACTTGGAGACTGCTTACATCATGCTCTTGCTCCTTATATCTTCATGGTGTGGCTGTAGTCCTCGAGTACTTTTACTTATTAATGCTGTATGTGTAGAATTAGAACTATACATGTGAAAAAAGTGCTCCTTGACACACTCAGTCCAGACTGTGATGACAACTCCTCATAAACCCTTTAAAAAAATACTTCAGAGCACAATTCTTAAAAATAACTCTGTCTGCATGTGTTCTGCAGGACTGGTTCAACAGCAGCTAAAGCCCACTGCCTAGCAAAAAATGTATTAAAAGTAAAGATGGATGATTAGCTCCAAGAGCACCCACAGCCAGACACTGCACTCTTCTCACCAGTCAACGGGATGTTCTGGGAAACAGGAGCAGTTTCCATCTCCCACAAACGGGTTTGTTATCCCTGCTACATACCTACAGGAAAAAAAACAGTCCCAGCAGACAAGGAAAAAACCCACTAAAGCCAGTTGGTGCCATGCCACAGCAATAAGACTGGGGCAGCCCCTTTCTCCTCACCCAGTCCCCACACTCAGTCTAGATCTGCAGTTCCTCTCCTTCAGCATCCTTATGGAAGACATTTCAGTGACACTCACAGGTGCTATTTCCAGCAAGATTCTTCCAAATTTTCAATAGCTGCACAATGCCAGTGTCCCCTGTGTGCTAAGAAGTGTTGCTTCTTTTAGTGCAGCAGCCTAGAAGAGATGATTTTAAAAGGCTCTCTTTGTGCATGTCCTCACTTAACATTAGTTTTGTGTACACTTTTGTTGCCTCCTGTGTGCCAGGTAGAATTCTAAAAACAGGGTTTGTGCATATTTCTGTATTTCTGTGTAGGCTGTGCCCACACTCCATTTTTCTTTTTCCTGCACACTGGTCTACTATGTGAAATGTTAGGAATACCTTTCTGTCTTGATTCAGTCCTAAAATAGACCTAAAAAATTAAGATATCATGCTTGCAAAACTCTGAAATGTGGTGCTACATGTATGTATAGAGCCTCTCAAATGAAAGGAAGCAGCAGATTGTAGGTAGTATTTGAGAATCTTCTGCATGGGATGCTGTCCAGCGTCCTAACTCTTATGTAGTTTTCATACTTGATGATTGTTTTGGTGATTAAGAAGAAAGTACTGTGCCATGCTACTTCTCACAGGTTCTCTCACTATCTTTTAGAAGTATGTTTTATTATCCAAAGGGATCATTCTCTCTGGTGTTTGGCTAATTTTAATATGGAAAATAATGACAAAACATGCTGGTTTGGTCTTCTAGCCAACAAACTTAGAGCACTTATCTGACTCACAACTGAAAGCACATCAGTTGTTAAATATGTATACGAATCATAAGCCACAGTTTGGTTTAAAAGACAACGCAAATTATTTGCCATGTATAAAACACAGTTGAATAACGATGTTTATTCTCAGAACTCTGTTTTATAGAACCACTTTGTTAGTATTTTTCTTAGGCAACAGTTTCAGGAACAGATGAATTTTTATGTACAATGTGAATGAGAAGATAGTAGACTGTTAGAGTGATCTGTTGTTTTATGCTTGAAGCTTGAATTGATCAGAAGCCTAGGAACCTAACTTATTTATTGTATTGCCTCAAAACTACTTCTAAGTATCAAGAGCTTTCTTGATTTAATGGGATTTTACACCTCTCTTACTGTGTGATTTTGTTGACATTAGTATATTAGAAAAAAAATGTTTTTCCAAATTGGCACTGTGGAAGAACAATTAAGAAATTTATTTTTAAATTCACATAGAATAGTCTGTAATATACTAAAACCTTCAGTAACTGTTAATAAGCTATCACTTTTCTTTCTACTAGATTACTAAACATTGGAGTATACAGATTACTTTCCATGAAGAAAAGAATCAGAAACAATCTCTAGAAAAATGGGATTTTGTGTGCCTAATCATACCTACCAGGCTACACTATCATGTTATTTTTTTGTGTGTGCCAGTACAGATCAGGTATGTAAAAATCTGACTACCATTTGCCAGTTGAACAGGCTGTGCAACTCAAATAGGAGTTCTGTTTGTCAGGTTTGTTTTTTTTTTTTTATCCCTTTGTTTTACATATTATTAGATAATGGCTGTAATATAATTCCAGTTTCTGGACCGGACTCTGTAGCCATCAAATCCCAGTAACTTTTGAAAAGCAATAAGAAGCT